CTCGCATAAGGCGACCACCTCTCCCAGAAGACCACTGTAACCAGGATCCAAGGATGCTATTTCCAGTCAAATCACCCTGGATAATGAGACCACCTGGTAGCAGAGACCGTATTTTGAAGGTCCCTTGAGCAGCGGTCGATTTGCACAGGTTTCACAGTACTGTAAACTGGATTATATTAAATTTTGCATCATAAAATTTCCGCGATTTCTCCGAACCAGCAAGTTTACGATAAAACGTTCGTGGTGCACGATGACCACACACAAAACCCACTGTTGAAATAGGATTTCACGATGCCTAGTATTCGCGTTACGCTCTTCTATCGAAAAGAGCGAACAGTAATGCGCCACGAATATTGGGCAGTTTCAGTAGTGGGATTATGCAAGCTGGGTGCAGCATTCTCTTTCTTCATGCTTTGCAAAGTGTAGTACTGTTTCTTCTTGCTTTTCCTTCTATCCCCGCAAAAGAAGTTGATTGTTGTTGTGCGGGGATGTGCGGTGCGTGTGCATGGGTGAGGTGTGAGTTAGGTGTGGCTGGGGTGTGAGCGTATAGGTAAGCCTTGTCTGGATGGTTAAGTTAACATGTTTATTGGTTGTCAGCATGTTACTAGGCGGAGGACGCACTGTGTTGAAAGCACTGCTTGTGACTACAACCATCCTCGGTTGGCAGAGCCCCGGTCTTGCCGCTATTTGAACTTTGCTCCGGAAACTATCTGTGTGTGCGTGCTTGCGCGTGTGTGTGTGTGTGTGTGTGTGCGTGTGTGCGTGTGTGTGCGCACATGTGCGTGTGTGTGTGTGTCACCTAGTTCGGTTGGTGGGTACATGTATGCCAGATAATGTTGGGTCTTTTGCCAACAGACTCGGCTGCTAGAAGGCGTATTGTTGTACCTGCCACCTTTGTAGGTTTAAGGGTTCGTATACTCTCTATTTGAAGTATACATACCTGTTAACCATGGACTGCTTCTGAATATATTGGCTATTGTGTAATCAATGGTGCTAGTGAAGTTTATTGTTATCAGATCCACTCCGTTTTAGACACCCACACTAGTACCAAGTATTACCTTCACTGGGGGCAGAGGTAACTGCAGTTGGATCGCGGGACGGATACCCTGATGCCGTCAATCCTTTTTCTGCATCTTGTCCTCACCCACTTCCTGAGGTGTGGTGAGCCCATAAGTGGGATCATATCCATGTCCACCCAGAGTTTGGGGATTTCAGTGTTTGTCGGCCGTTTAGCGGTTCAATAGCCAATTGAGTCATCTTTCTAAGATTCCGTTTGAGTCTCTCTCTCCCCTCTCCAGGGGCGACCTACGTGACCAATTTTGCCAGTGAGCACATGTATATTTTGTGTGTGTGTGTGTGTGTGTGTGTGTGTGTGTGTGTGTGCATGTGTGTGTGTGTGTGTAGGTGTGCATTGGTGGTCGATTCATATGGCTTCGCCAGTTGTGTGGATTAGACAGTTATCTGGCGCAAGTCTTGATCTGTCTCATTCAGATCTTGTTCGCTATCGTTGCTATAAGAGAAAATCTGTGGGTGCACATCCAGTGCATTTGCAGATTTGCGTGCTTCTCTTGCGACGGGCGTATACATGGTACATGGTTCATGGTGTGTGTGTGTGTGTGTGTGTGTGTGTGTGTGTGTGTGTGTGTGTGTGTGTGTGTGTGTGTGTGTGTGTGTGTGTGTGTGTGTGTGTGTGTGTGTGTGTGTGTGTGTGTGTGTGTGTGTGTGTGTGTGTGTGTGTGTGTGTGTGTGTGTGTGTGTGTGTGTGTGTGTGTGTGTGTGTGTGTGTGTGTGTGTGTGTGTGTGTGTGTGTGTGTGTGTGTGTGTGTGCTATGTGCAGTCCCGTGCAGCTTTGTCGCTGCTGGCATTCTGCTACTATCACATGCAAGACTTTGAGAACGCAGCCGAGTGGTAAGTCTGGCTCTACACTCCACAGTAAAACCTGTCAAGGCGACCACTCGGATAAGGTGACCACCTGTCCCAGAAGACCACTGAAACCTACTATTTCCAGTCAAATGACCCTGGATAACGAGACCACCTGGTAACAGAGACCGTGTTTTGAAGGTCCCTTAAGCAGTCGCCTTAGACATGTTTCATTGTATTTATATTGTGTACCCAATACAGTACCCAGGACAGTAGTGGTGCAAGGCTACAGCTGGAGGTTGTTGCTACCCTGAGCTTCATGCTACCAGTCCGATCATCTGTTGCCGGATGATTGCACTGTTTGCATGAAAGAAACTACTTCAGTAGCTTTGAGCTAAATTTGTACTTTTAGTGTGTGCCTGCGCTCTGCTCGTGCGGCATCCAAACACTCTGGGAACACTGGGGTGAAACCCTTTCTTCTCATAGATTATCAACATGATTCCAGTGCATCAACATTGCGGCTCCAGGTATTTTGGCATTGAAATGAAATTAGGGCTCGCGTGAGACTCGGCTGGAGGCTGAGTTTCCGCATACGTAGGAACGCCACCACCCTTCATGGATCGGTGTGCAGATGCAGCTCTTAAAGCGGTGGGATGTGAGTAGATAAGACCCTCCGCAAAGTTGTCAAGGACCTAAAATCCCAATCGCTGCATCCATGCTTCCCCGAACCTGGTAGCCTCTGCTTATTAATCATGGTCTTAGACCATCCCAACATGCCTGCCTGCATTGCCAGGCAGCCCCTCAAGTAACAGATGGTAATTATGTCATTGTTACTCAGTGCATGAGATATAAAAAAAGAGTGACTCATCGTGTCCGTTCCCTGGGTAACTCTTGACGGCCGTTAGCCCCCGGACATTCAGCGCCAGATACAGCGCCTGGAGGTGGCAGTGAGGGTATAAGTCTCAACGGCCTTTGGGTCAAGTGCCTAAAACCCCGCTAGCCGCATCCATGTAGCCAGTGTACCTGAGCACAAGTCATCAGTTGATTGCGGGTAGCATCGCGACAGGGCAAACCGCACCCGGGCAGGTCTTGAACCTGGTACCTCTCGCATCTCAATCATGGTCTTAGACCAGCCCAATGTGCCTGCCTGCTGCTGTATGAGGTCATGGTGGAGAAATTTGGACATGTAGGGAGAATAATCAGCATACTGTTCATGTTCTGCCTGCTTGTTTTCCAATCTCTCTCTCTCTCCAGTTATGAACAACTGCAAGTCAGTTATCCGGATGTAGACGAGTACAAGCTGTATTATGCGCAGGTGAGTGCAGATTGTGCATGCATAGAACACAACTTCGGTACCTCGGGTCTACGACAGGTCACAGCGAGACAGCTCACAGCGCGACAACTCACAGCGAGACAAGTCACAGCGAGACAACTCACAGTGTCGTCAACTCACAGTCAAGACAACTCACAACCAAGACAACTCACTGCGCGACAACTCACAGTGTCGACAACTCACAGCGAGGCAACTCACAGCGTCCTTATTTTATGTAATGGTGCAATGAAGACCTGGAGTCTGTGGGGGTTGGTCCTAGTAAAAACCTACAATGTATATGATAATAATAACGTGACGTTCTCGGCACTTCTCTATTTACATGTAATGCAAAGGAGAAAATAACATATAACTCGGATGGTGAGCCAATTAAACAATTCTGAAAAGAAGAAGGCCAAAATGTTACGAGTTATGACTAACTGTCCACCAATGTAACGAGATCTTATACAGTCAGCGAGTGCGACAAAATGTGGACACTTAGTCATAACTCGTAACATTTTGTCCTTCTTCTTTTCACAAGAAAATAACAGAGAACTTTAATCGAGAAAGAAGACAAAGCCTGAACAAGAAGAAGACAGTAATGAAAATAAAGTTAAAATATAAGATAAAATAAAAATAACCTTGAAATTTCCTATAAGAATCACATAATTATATGAAATGCCAAGTTCGCAGCAACTCCTCATAGAAACTCATCCTTCGTCATGGTCTCGAACGACCGGAGTATGGCACGAAGTCGCTTGTCCTGATCTTCATACTTCCTCCTCTTCTTCGGAGCCTCATAGCCTGCATTTTCCCTCTCCACACACTGCTCCACCATTGCCTGCTCGACAAAAATACCATCCAGGAATTTCCAAATTGTGGGATGATGACACAGTCGATGGTAGACAAAAACTTGCGGTACAGAACACAATAATTCTGTTGTCCACAGTTTCCGGTCCACTGTCGTAGAGAAGGAAGACGTCCCCACCCTTCGTTTCTTGATAGCGCTCCGGCAACTGGAGGTCTTGCAGTGTGCCTGGGTTCGGCGGAATGTTCTGAACCCGCAGCCGATCGCGGTGTGGCTGTGAATTGTCGCGCTGTGAGCTGGGGTGGCTGTGAGTTGTCTTGGCTGTGACTTGTCTCGCTGTGAGTTGACGACACTGTGAGTTGTCTTGGCTGTGAGTTGACGACACTGTGAGCTGTCGGCTGTGAGTTGTCGCGCTGTGAGCTGTCTCGCGGTGACCTGTTGTGTTCCCCTCTGTTTGTGTCGCTTCCGTCTATGCTAGGAATGGATTTGGCTGTATACACATACGGAGCCGCACACATATGCGCGCACGCACGCACACTCACACAATAACTTACTTCCATCTGCCCATCGCTGAGGCGATGATGGCGAGCAAGCTATGTTAGACATAGCAACTTTCACACTGACACAAATGTGTACGGGTGCACCCACTTACACGTTCCGGTGAAGCCCACGTAATCCCCCGATCAATCATGGGGTACAGCATCTCATTCCCGCCTGTGATTTGCGTCTCATCAGTGGTACATGGAACATATACCTCCCTTTCTTCCAGCTTGTTTATTCCCGCTGCCACGTTGCTCGTTGATTAGTATTTGTTGGCCCCAAAGCTGTACATCACATCTCGGGTTTGCCAATGAGGTCCTATAGTATTCGCCCGTTCATTCCCTTTTTATCTCTCTTTTCTTTTTGCAATTTTGCCATGGCTGGGTATCGCCCTGATTCCTGGGTTTGCCCCCCCCCCCCCATCTTGACGCTGCTATCCATACTCTATGAGATTGAGGTCAAAAAATAAATAATTGAATCTCG